GTATACTGTATGTATATGTCTATACAGTATATATATAAAAGTGTTTGGATAGGTAGGTATGGGTATGTTTATGTGTATACAGTATGTATAAATTTATATATGTATATGGGTATGGTTTTCAGCAAGGCTATAGTCATTATAATTATATAGTTATGCATTTCTGTTGCTGTGGTTTTGCTATCTTTGTTTTTGTAGGTGTGGAGCCAAGAAGTCCGGTGTGCTGTCTTATGTTTTCTCAACATATATTTCACATATCTTCTAATCTCTCTTTCACTCTTTCTCATTGCATTTCACTTTTTTCTCTTTCTTTTTCTTCTATTAAAAAAAGCCACTGATGATGAAGAAGCTAAGATACTAATATTCTGATATTCAGTTCTGCTTTCTACTGAAGTGTCAAAAAACAAAAAAACAAAAAAATGTGGCACCATTTAAAAATGGAAATTAACAAGCTTTCCTAAGTTCTAAGATACAACAAAGAAAGAATCTGACAAACACAAATGTCCATGCTTTTTGTGCCAAGTTTAGAAGTTTCAAAATAAAGTGTCTGATTTAGTTAATTTTCAGTGGTTCAACCTTAGAACTATTATGTAAAAAGTTGAAAATGAGGTTTTAATTATGCAGAGAGCACATGCTTACACTTCTGTTTTTTTGTACATTTTCAGTGCAGCTATAGAACATAGCAATGTTTTATGTTCTGTAGCCATGTGTTTGATTAAATGTGAGCTGTGGAAAAGGTGATCAGACTCACAGAAAAGTCAAATAGTTTTTGGTGTTCGGTGTTTGGTGTTCTTCAAAATAAATCTGTTCTTCTAATGAACAGCTAAAGCAACAACTACATAAAGTAATTCCTTCTCTAACCCATGGATGAGTGCCCATCCCTGCTCTAACTCATGTCTGAGTGTTTGAGTTTGTTTTGTTGTGTTATTATAGCACAGTGTTTGTGAGGACAGCACCAGAAAGTTGGCACTTCACAGTTGGGGTCCCAGCAGGAACCAAAAGAATCACCTGCTGTGGAGTTTCTGAGTCACTCCAATGGATCCAACCTTCTATCTTTGACTTTACCCGACCCAGACTGACTCGTGATCACTTGTGACCGTCTTTAAACGTCAGATTATGATTTACAATCTATAGGAATTAAATACCATAAATTGTAGTTCTGTTGTGGTTTCATTTGGCATAAATTACCAGGAACAAGCATGTAGCTTAAAAGAACCAGAACATTTTGATTCTCCTTCCTGTTATTTTGACAACTCAGTTTCTTGAAGCCGGCTGCATTAATTGCCAGGGTGACAGTTTGTCACTCCATACATTTTCTTTTTGATCCTAAAGGACAAGTACCCAATAAAATATGATTTCCAGGTTCAGTATATGCTTCAATTTCAAACTGAGATATTTCTCTTTGAAGTCATTTGTGGTGTAATTTATAAGAAAGAACAAAGCACCTATGTGCAAAACTTAATGTTTATTGAGATGGCTTTATATATTGCACTACGCAAACATTTTACCATATTAGAGTGCATATGCTCTTTTTCAGTCTTTATACATGAATTTGGTGTTTTTTATGTCTCTGAATGACTTTATATTTGCATATTTTCCTTTAAAAATATTTTAATACAGAGTTTGCATAGCTGCATACAATTAAGGACTAATTGCCTGCACTGACAGCATAATTTCAGCAACAAAGGAGGGGAAATGCTTAGATTGCAACACAATGAAATAAGATGAGGACAGGTGAAGGACATGTCCAACTTTTTCTCAGAGTAAGTGACTTTCTCCTTCGATTACTTTGGAACATAAACTTTTTGTTTAATCATTCTCATTTAGAGGTTTAAATCTATTAATTAGTATCATTTTTAAATATTAAGCCTAATGTTTTTTGATAGTGAAATCAAAAGTAAATTATGTTAATAGTCAAACAAATCACTTGTAGTTAGGTCTGTCACTATAATAAACTTTGCTGGACAGAAAGAATCAGAAATGATTATGATAAATGATAATAAATTGATTCTCAGATCTTTTAGATCTTTTTCACTGCTGCTTGGATGCAGATCGTTACATTCATCATAACAATAAATCCATTTTATCATCACCTATGGGACCATTTCATGTTTGTCTTTAACAGATGGACCGGCGGTCGCCTCGGATCAAGCAGACGTCACAGTTTGCAGATTGACAGATCTCATCATGGTGAAGCAGGATTATTGATAGCACTTGTTTACAAGTTCACACCCAGGCTAAGTCACGCGAAAACGCTGCAGGCAAAAAGGACTGACATATCATCACTCCAAAGTCGGGCTCAGCGAAAACATACATCCTCTTATCATCCAGTTGCTTAAATCACTTTGATGTATGCATGTACGGGCATGGAATCAAAAATGTTTAACGCTGCAGGGAGGGGATTTTTCCCTCTCCCTCCTTGTCTTATGTGTTCTTGTTAATGTAAATTTAGTTTCGGGCACAGGTCCACACACAGACTAATATTAACTAATGTCAAAGGAAATAAATATTGTAGCAGCAAAACAGAGGAGATGGATTTCAGGAAGGCTTAACAAAGAAAAACGTATCAGTGTCACCAATCAACAAAGGTCACAAATATGAAACTAATGACTATTTTTTCCTCTTTTTTTCTTCTAACTGGTTTTTCATTTTTACTTTGCATGAATGTGATGCTTTTAATTTTTTTTCTTGCTTTTATTGTGAAACCCTTTGTGATTTTATATCTATGAAAGGTGCTATATAAATAAAACTCACTCAACATTTATTTTTAGAGTAACAGTTTAGAAGCCTAAAATTTCTATTCAATACATTGCTATAGTTAATATAAATCAGATTTTTTTTTATTTCATTAAATTGTGCAGAAAAGTTGCTTTGAGGAGAACTTTTAATGTATTAATGTTGCTGATAAAAGTTAATATGACTTCTACACTGTACACACCCTTAATAAAACTTCTAAAACCAAATAAATGGGAAGTCAGCGTGCTGCTCAGACAACTGCAAACTAATGATGGTTTAAAAACTTTTCTCTCCTAATATAGAAGAAATAAAGACAACACTCATAATTACAAGACTGTAAGAAGTGCTGCGTAGGTGCGTGTGTTCATTTGTTCTCGACTCTGAATATAGTTTATGACTACATGTGAAAAGTCTTCCCCTGGGGAAATCAGTTTCATTACAAGTCAAGCCAAAGTGCTAACACAGAGACATGTTCAAACATGACAAAATAGCTTCATAACCTCAGATCCAATAATGCGCCTCACGTCCTGAAGCAGCTACATGTGCTTCAGCAAACCAGGATGGTTATGTTCAATTAAAACATGTCGACACACGAGTTTCAAGCTGGTGAGCCCCTCCCAGGGTCACCACGAAGGGGGTCCAGATGGGCCATTTGGAGGAAGCGTTCACACTTAGCCTTACAGTTGGTCCCCAGGCTGCGTGTGTGTTAGCATGATCTGCGTTTGTGCCTGCAGGAACATTTAGCGACAGGCGGGCTATCCGAAAACATGCACACATCTGTCAGCACCAAACACACACAAATCCTGACTGACACGAATAAAAGAACAAAAGAGAAACGCACACTTTCAGCATAATGCAACTTTCTATGTAGGTGCTGCAATCTTTCCTCCTTTGTGAACTCATTAGGTTCAGGTAGGACAGGCGTTCATTAGAAGCACAGAAATAAGACTAAATGCTTTAAAGACAATGTCAGATGTGTCATTGCCAGATGTGGTGACACGCACGCACATACAGCCTCCATACACACAAACACACACCCTAGCCTAATCGTCACCTCCTGAGCCTCAGTCAACACAAATAAATCAACAGTCTGCCTCTGAGCATGCACATGTTTCTGGTGTGTGTGTTCACATTAGCACAACTGGAAATGAATAACACTATTTAACTGCAAATAAGGGATTTACCTGATATTCATTAGGCCAAAACGTGGAGACAGCAAGCTCAGCTTTTAGCCAGTCTTTACCTGAAGAACAACAAAACAATCAATACAACATCGTTAAAAACAAAATAAAGCCAAGTAAAGTTCTGAGGCTTTACCGGTGTAAGATGTCACGTTCCATATGGGGTTTGCCAGAGGGCCCTTGTTTACCTGCAAAAACCCAATGTAAACATAAGAGTTATAAAAAAGTCTGGATTACTGCAATAAATATCTATCACATATGATTATAAGATACATTTAAAACTATAATAACTGATAAGATCAAAACACACGAATAACTGAAGTTTACACTGTTTTAATTAATTCTGTTCTTTCACATGATGATTAAAACCAAATTAAATTCATTTTAAACAGATTAAAACTCGAGGAAATCTGTAAACGAGTGAAGATAAAGCAAAGTCTCTAAGAGTCTAAAGCCCATGTGTCAAACTCAAGGCACACAGGCCAAACCTGGCCCTTGTAAACATTTTATCTGACCACAAAAGGTAAAACTTTAAACATGAAATAGTTTGAGGGTTTATGGTCAAGAACATTTAGTTGAAACTTTTCAGTAATCTTTGTTTTCAGTGTGAAAAGAGCAACAGAGAATTGACTTTATTATTCTGTATTCTTCTCTTATTTTGAAGCCAAATTATTGGATTTTTCATGGGTTTTCAATTTTAATTTGTTTGTAGGATTGAAATAAAATGTGTCTGTAAGAAATAAATCAAAAAGATGTTGGTTAGTGTATGATATATGATAAGAAAATGCTTTCAAAATGCATTATTTTTTTCTTTATACCTTAGGTTATGTATGTTCTTATTAAAACATACCAAAATGCTACTCAATGCTACTTAAATATAAATTGGAAAAGATAATTTGTTACATATATTTTTCAAGAAATACTGACAGAAACTGGCCCTTGGCTTGGACCAAGTTTTGAATTCTGGTCCCTTTGTGTAACAGAGTCTGACAGCCCTGGTCAGATCCCTGCGTGGTGTTCATTACCTTCACCAGGATGTTCAGAGCTCCTGGGGTGGAGCCGTCGGGGCTGCTGACCAGATAGTTGAAGTCAATACAATGAGTGTCGTTTTCTTTCATGACTGGCAGCTGAAACCTGGCCTTTTCTCCGACATCATACTGAGAAACATCCACAAACATGTAGGAACCTAAGAGCAGAGACGAACAAAGGAAACATAATCTGTAAACAAACATCACAAAGAGTCATTTTTTAATGTAAACCAATATCTTGTTTTTTTGTGGCAGCTGCTTTTGCAAGTACACCAAAGAATTTCTTTAAATCCACTGCTTTAAGCAGAGCAGTGGATTTTAATGGAGCCCTCTGAGGAGGTAGTTAGAGTGTAGACACAGTCAGTATTATGACTACACTTACCAGGAGTGGGCTGTTTGCCCACAGCTTGTGTTACATGTACCTACATGAACAAAACTGCTCCGCACTGTGCAGGTTCTCTTTCAACCGTCTGTGCTGTAAGCCCACAGATACCATTTCCCCCCAAATTCCACCAAAGAATCAGTTTCTGTTTCAGAAGTTAACGAGTTTACTCCATAACGCCTTGTTTTAACTCCCAACAACACCACTGTTTTTTCTTTATCATAGAAAAACAAGTCTCAACCAGATTCTTCCACCAGATATCTACATTCCTCTCCGTTGATCTTGTAGAGAAATCAGCCTGGACACTTGTTAGCAAACAGTCACCACTGAGTTTTATAGAACACTGTATCTCCAACAGCTGGATCTGGAAACTGGAGCATGGAAATAAAACTTAATCTGGGTGAAATGAGAGTCTGCCCATCCAGATGTTCTATTAATCAGCTAAGACCTTAACCAGATGTTGCTGCTCTAAAAAAATTATGAAATGTGATCCTTTCCCGTTTGATTTTTTTTAATCCCAGTAGTTCCCATTAGCTCATTATAAATGAGAAAAAATCACTGCTTCCCAAACTGTAGCAGAGTCTTGTTGGCACAACTACCTGTGGTTGTAGAGAAAAAACAGCCCTAATACATCAATAAATCAACACTCATTATGATCTTTTTGATCCATTTCTGCCAACTCTTTTCCATCTCTTAACTATAAAAAAATATATATACTATTATCAATCTTAAATTGATTAAAATTTCTACAGATTATTTGAAGATCATAAACTTGATAATTCCAGATCCACGGGCTCTTAAATCCTGTTGACTAGATGATATCAGCTATATCCAATTACAGAGAATTATGTTGAACAAATGAGGCGGTGTGAAATACACGTGTTTGTGTGTGTTTTCAAATATTCAGACATTTTCATTCTTTTAAAATAATTAGTTGAGCCACTAATTTAATAGTTTATTTTCTGTCATAGAAATAAAAACATTGAGTTTGAACATAGAAAAGAAAAACATAAAAAGAAAACAAATCAGAGAAACAAAAAGAAGAATGGCACACAATAGGACATAATTAACTTTGCTACAATTACATGAAGTGTGATTGAATGAAATACAAATATAAAATGGTACATAAGATGCCCAGACAGTCAAAACAGGCGTTTTATATTGTACCATATACAAAAGGCTGTGGAACAATAGTGATTATTGATTATTGTTTGGCTAATCTATTGAGAGAAAACATATTCCTTTAGAAACTAGAGGAGCATTAGTGTTTCAATAGGAACGTGCATACATACAGTTATAGACACACATCTTTCAGTACCACAGATATTTGGTAGCTCTTTTTCCACAATCTCTTCTTTCATTTGTTGTCATCATTACTGCCACATATGCCTACTTCAGCACAAACAAACCAAGACTTCTACATCCTCCATTATTAGAATAACCTTATTCCTGGTTGTGAATGTCACCAACAAGTTCCAAAATAAAAAAAGCAAGAAATCACCACTTACTCTGTGAAACCTTGTATGTTTTTTTTATCCACCCAACATATGATGGATGTCATTCATTCTTTTTCTTTTGTTTTTCTTTTCTTTTTTTTCCTCATTTCTGGCAGTGGCATTAAAACGGTGACACGCAAAAAAAGTACCATTAAGATGGCTGCCAAGATGATGTGCAAACTAAAAATACTTCTATCAGTTAGAGACCCAGATATGTCACTACACACACACAACACTGCAAACATTACCTTTGGCACTTTAGCAAGACATAACACTGCCTCAAACAAAAATATACTAGCAAATGGGTTAACTAGAGGTTAAAATATTAAATAAAACAGCTTATTGACGTTCAACAACAATTTGTTTCCTACTAAATTAATTTTAAACAATTTTATCACGTTTGTTTAGTCAAAAAAAAACAACATTTCTTCCAACCTGAGCCAAAAAAAATTGTGAAATTGTGACTAATAAATGACTGACAGTACATGAAACTAATACAAGAACCATGCCATGCAAGCAGACTTCATGATGCCAAGAACATCTGACACCTTCGGGCTGCCAGTTTCTAAAATGGCTGATCGTCTTTGAACTGCCAAAGTCTAAAATGGCTGCTAATAGAAGGATGACACAATATACCGGTGAGGCTAAATTTACGGCTGTGACAGCCTTAAGACCCAAATATGTCACGCAACGACAACAGCAGTGTGGTAGACAGAGGGCTGTATTCTCCAGCAAATCAATAATAGCTTGCAGATGGAAAACCAGCTGACAGAGTCGTTTCATTTTTAGCATCTTGAGGTGCCAATCATTGTATGTAGGATACAAAACAACGAACAACCTATTAAGACTGATATAATGTCCTTATTTATTCATACATTAATTATATACTCTTTTAAAAAGACTGTCTGACGTCATGCTTCAAAATATTAATCTCTCTGTTCTGTTATTTACCATTTTTAAAATGCCTTAAAAGTAATTTTTAAATGTAAAACTAAACTAAAGATTGCTTACAGTGTAATTTTCTGCATTCTTGTCTTAAAGAAAACATTTCCTGCTTTTAAATCTGTCCTGGAAAATAATTATACCTCTCTGCTGATTATTAAGTTTGAACTGTCTTGACATTTCTGTTTGTATCTTTTTGATAACTGCTACGATTCGTCATTATCTGTCCTCATGATTCTGAGGCGCCACTGTCTTTATGATGTCCTTCCTCATGCAAAGTTACTGTAAGACTTGTCGTTTCCTCATTGGTTGGTCATTGCTCCGCCTCTTACTTAAAACTGATTTCCTGAAACTTTCCAGTGAGTTGCTGCGTGACCAGACTCTTCGCTCAGACCTGTTCACGCTGTAACCATTTTTGCAAATCTTAATAAATCAATGACGACCACAACATGAAGTGCATCTTTTTTTTTATTCACGTGTTTGTCTTTTTAACAAATATTTCCACAATAAAAATCCTTCGTTTTTTACTTTTAAATCCTTCAGGTGGGGTCTATATAAAGTGAAACTCCTTATTGTAACTCCACAAGCCCCGCCCCTTTTCTGAGGCACGTCTCCCTCCAGCTTCCAGAGTGGTCCACTCCAGTTTGATAGAGGGGTTTACGGTTATATAGCTGCGCAGAAACCTTTTTTTTTTTTTTACAAATGAATAAAAAGATAAACAAGGGAAGACTTGTCCGTCCAGCCTTACATGTTGGAACCAGAGTCTGACCCAGAACCAGAGGAGAGTGAAGACCACTAAACTGTAGTTGGTAAATCCAGACATTATTTAGCAGTTCCAATGCAAATAATTTGACTTAATAGTTCAGAAAACTCAAGAGAGAATAAAGAAAACTGAACCAATGACACATTAAGTACCAGGAGAGTCTAAATTAAACTTTTCTGCACTCCTAGAGCTTCCAAATACACAACAAAACGTATTTAACAGAAAAAAGCAGCATGATCAAATTTATTAAAAACAAATTAAATTAAAAGCTCGCCCAAACCCTGATCTGCTTTGACTACAGTAATAACCCATCATGACCTCACTACAGACACTCTCTGCATGCTGAACACTATTATGGTCCCATCATGCTCTCTCTCATGTAACGGAGAGCCCAGTGTAATTATAACAACCCTGTAAAGAACATTCATGTTCTAATCAGGATTTTAACATCGTAGCAGGGTTTTTATTCAGTCTGAAGGGGTGCTAACACTTTACTAAAGCATTTCAACAATGAGGTAATTTAAAATTTATTCACGGAACTTAACGACAGTTTCAAACGATATTTAATGTTTTATATGAAGATAATGCAGTAAATGCTCACATTTTGAAAAAAAAGATTTTATACTAAACACCAGCTTAACTGATTTAATTATGAGGCTCAAATTCTTCAAAAAAATAAAATAAAATTTCTTTGAGAACCTCAGCGTTCCACTTTGATACTTTGAGTGTCAGAGAGCTGGGTTTAATGTTAATTTTATTCTCGTACTGATGCATCTATTATTATTCAGTCCTTATTAAAACATCGGGTAGTTCTGTTGCAGCTGTGAAGTCTTTTATTTTCTCTTTTCTTATTCAAGAGTGCACAGAGAAAAAAAACAGAGACACGGAGAGAATGGCATGCCAAATAGGTTTAGAGTGTTACTGGCAGACATCATTATGAGTCAAGAGTATCTGCTTTAGTCCACTGAGCCACTGAGCCCCAGCCCATGAATGTTCAACTGGCACAATAATCATTGCCAGCGTAGCATCCTAGCTCTGCCAACACCAACCCCCAGTGAGATCACAAAAACAAGTTTGATGTCTATTACAAAAACTGCCAATCCATCCATGCACACTAACACTGCTGTAAGAACAAACAGCCATTAGACAAACTCAATGTGGGTTGTACAAGGACACAAGTGTAATTGTTAACATAGAACTGAGTTGAAAACTATCATGTGGGATAGGGATGGCGTGATTTTTGATTCAATCGTCTATCGGCGATTGATGGGTTGGAATGCAATTTTTTTAAAGGGCGATCTTAATTAATTAAATGCTGTGCCGGGGATGTAAAATAAATTTTAAATGCGCCCTTCTCTGTATATTAAAATGTTTTAATCATCATCATTGTGATCTGTGCAAATAAGGGAATAAAATAATTAATATACAGTGCTGCATCTCTGTTATTTTTATTTTTTTTCTCAAAGTCGGCGCAAACATGCGCAGGTCTTCTTCACGTCTCTTGGTGCGCCACAAGTGACCCAAATAGTGCTATATTATTACGTTTAGTTACAAAACAAATAATCCATGACAATC